ACCATCATTTATTTTTGCTCGGTTTTTGCGGATCTTTGCTTCGTTTTTGTGGTTTTCCACTCAGTTGCTGTGTTTTTTCGAGAGCCTCAAATGAGCCCCGTACTACCCGTACATCGTAATCTTTCGCCATTTCTCCCAGCGGTCCTTCAGCGCTTGCGAAACTTTGCTTGTCTAGCGTCGAAGCGTGCTAAAATTTTTCAGGTAAAAATACTTCCATGAAAGTAGAATATCTCAGCGAAGTTTCTGCCTCGCACTTTATCCAGTAAACGGAATATCCAATTCGTTATAAATATCTTTGAAGTGTTCCAAGTTGTGGCACAAATGCAAATCGCAACTCAATTTAGTTTCTCAAGTAAAGTTATTTCGAAATAATTTCATCCCAACATCGCCCCGGTATTCAGTAAATTCGGGTTGGCTCAATTGGCTGGGGGAGTTAATGGCTGTAGTATATAACTTCGGGCAAGAGACCGAGGTAAGAGTGGGTGGGACGGAGGCCGGGAGAGGGGGAGGGGCTATAGGTCTAAAACGGTCAAAACAGGTGGAAGGGGACGAAAATGTAGACTGGAAAGGAGCTGAGATCTTGCTCGAAAGTACGGACTGGAAATAGGGACGGGGATTATCGGGGAGAAGTGGTTATACGGGTTTGTGATGCTCAGGGACAAACCTGATGCTGAATTAAATTTGGTAAGTCTGTGCACGGTACCTAAAATCTCAGGTAGGCAAAAACCCCCGTACCTTTGCATGACCACCAATTTCGCAGTTCGTACCCGAACTCACAAACGAGTGCGCAGCCGAGCCGAGCCGAGCTGAGCCGAGTTTTAATAACTGCCCTACGCCATCACCTTGCAAAATGCACCACAGATATACACTATATACATACATAAGCGCCATTCCTCCCAAGGCCGTTTAATTCCGTAATTTAGACCGGTAAAGGGAATAATAATAGAAGGCCGAATCGTAATCTTAAAAGAATTGGACGTCCAAAGAAATTAAAATATGGAACGGCCATCTGAGTCAGAAAGTTAAAACGAAGGGTGGGATAAGTTTGTTAAAATAATTTGCGGCTGTTGGTAGGCCGAACCGTAATCTCCGAAAAAAGCGGGCGGTCCAAAACATGGAAAATGTGGATCGGCCATAGTCCAAAAATTTTAACCTAGGATGAGGGTAAGTTCAATAAATTATGACAGAAAAGATAGCAGGGCGATAAACACGTGTGGCATTAAACCGTACAACATGTTGAAAAGTCATGTGGAAAGGAATATGCGGAAAAAGATTTGTCTATGTTTCATCCCTTAGCTGTAAATGCAGAAAGTACAGGGTACAGTTAGGAGCAGGAATCGTCAGTACAGCCTCCTAACCACTATGTAAATACGTCAAGTAACAAAGTGTTTAGAAGAAAAGATAACAGGGGGACCTGATGATTTGTACAGGAATGAGAAAGAAATGCTTACCTGTGCGGCGCTTGTGTCTGCATCCTCTGTTTCGCTGGAATCGTTTGCATTTGCTTTATCTCTCATCTGTCTGCTCCTCCTCGCTCGAAGTAACTCTTGCAGAACTGGTTCGCATTCTTCGTTCTCTTTTGCATATTCCTGAAAAATTTTCTGCATATTCCTGAAAAAATCATATTCCTGAAAAAAATTCCTGAAAAAAAAAATTCGTCTTCGAAACAGTGTAGCGCAGAAGCTGAATTCATGCCATGATCCTGGAAGGTCAGCGTTTGAAACACTATAAAAGAGGAGCTGTACGCTTATTCGAAGAAGTAACGAGTCATGAATTCATGGAATTGGTTGTGTTACCTGTAACACAGTCTGATCATCAGCATTTTCCATTGTTCGGTTCCAGGCTTCATCGGGAAAGATAATCTTGATCAGACGGATCAAATTCGCTGCATCCTTATACCTGAAGTTGGAAATATCACAGCATCCACGCTTAAAACTGATAATTAATAATAACGCTTTTGTAAAAAACAATACTAGGAATGATATGCAACGGATCTCGTGCGAAATGAGATCTATAAATAATAAAACAAGCTGAAATTGTTAAGAATTTCCAAGGGTTTTGGTTCGAGAAAAGAGTTATATTGTTACCACAGTATAAAAAACTATACTGTTACCACAGTCGTCGTACTGACGAGGTACAACTGTAGTAACGGTAAGAAATGTAAATGACTTGATGGACCGAAACATTTCTTACCTACTTTAATAATTCTTTACAACCCTTTCATCTCTTTTTGTTCATATTTTCTCCCTAACCCTAAATAAGACGCTTTATCGCCGTATAGGAAAAATGGCAATCTGATTGTAGCATGCAAGTGGATGCTAGGAACTTAGGGGGGGAAGCATGGAGAGGACTAAGTATGGATAAATAGGGAAATAGAGTTAGTGCCAAAGAACTAAATAGGAATGAGTTAAGACGTTTCGGTCCATTAAGTTATATAAGTCTTACCTGAACATTACGACTGGACCTCGTCAGTACGACGGTCATGGTATTCAGAGATGAGAAAAGAGAAAGAATGGAAAGAGAGAAGAAAAAGAGGAAAAGGAAGAGTTTTTATTACTATTATATTAAATTTAAAATAGTTGAAAAAGGGTAATATCCAAGATGAGGTGGCGCTGCTCAATATATACCAGTGACTTCTCTAAACGGTTAAAGTCTTATTAAGCATTGTAGAAATTTTAAAAATCCAAACAATGAATATCCCTGGCTAGGAGGTTGGAAGAAGACGGGGGCCTGAAATCTTCTATGTGTTAACATATGCAGTTTGTTCGGCGCTACTGTCTCACCGTGGAGAGGAACACAGTCGAATTTTGATAATTAATAAAAAACATTAGAAGTGCCATTTAGATCTCCCAAATAAACAGACCTGTATGTGCAGTGACTTGGTGGCCTGTCTGTGTTTCATCCCTGAACTGTACTAAGTAATTTTGTCAATTACTAAATGATCCAGTCAACTTGCCTAATTTATTCAATCATGTCTTGGTACTCAATCACGCTTAGGTATGTTACAGGAGAATAATTAAGCAAATTTTTGCAAATAATTTCCAAAAATTGTAAAAAGTCCGCAGTGAAGAGACGGGAAAAGTTAACTCTCATTCGCAAAGCAACAGACTAAAAGGACAACTTATAGCAATTCAAAATCTGCCGGTAGCATCGTTGGGGAATCAGAGTTTATTCCAGAAATTCAGGGAATTTCGAGGGCTTACATAATAAGATAAAGCCTTCGATTAATTTAAGCTTGCGGAAGAAGGGGTTTGCGAAGGCTGCTTTCGAATTTACCGAATTATGCCGCTTCGTAAAGTCTCCACCGATAGGCCTGTTCAGTAAAGGGGCGGAAAATTAAAGTTTTACAAAAAAACAACAGACTGGAAGGAGAGCCTGCGAAAAATTAGAACCAACCTGCCTTCAGCAGCATAGAAACGCAGCAACGGGAGGAATTTTTTATTGAGCACCAGGTAAAATACAAATGGTCCAAAATGCCGTGTGGAGTGTAAATTGGCGAATTTGTTGGCCTCAACCGTTTGATCGTAAATCATATGGCAGAGCTGTAAGTACCAATATAATCAACGCTGCGCAGTGCCCACTATTACTTGCCATTTTCTGTACAGCATTCATAACAACCACTTAATACGAACTTTCCAGCCGCTAGATAGAGTTTTTCAGCAAAAAGAACTTAAAAAACACGGTTCAAATTCACTAAGCACCGATATCCAACATTCAAGATGCAATTAGTAACTTTTAAGCTTCTACATTTATGCAGTTTGCTCTCGCCCGTCAGTTCCGTTTTTAGTTTATTGACTTTACAGGTACAACTGTCAATTGAATATACGTAATGGTGGAGGTAATTCTTATGAAATGCACTTTCAACTTTTGCTTTAACCCTTTTTATTTTAACTTTCCTTTTCCTTTTTTGGCACATTGCATGCTACTTTCGCTGCAACCGTCACACTGGTGAGGTCCAGTAACAGCACTGAACAGGAATGTATGCGAATTAATGGACCGAAACATTCCCATTCAGATTTTAATTTATTCACATTTCCTTCTTTATTTCCTTACATCTTACATAAACACATACCAACTAAAATTAAAATTAAAATACTAGCCTTTTCCTTTCGCCTACAGGGCCTTTACGGCCCGTACTGCCTTTTACTTTACTAAGCACCAAGGAAAAACGATACTGGTGCGGTATTAGCTGACAGCAGCAGCACACTGTTGCCACTATAAAAGACTATCTGAGTGATAATACACCACCTTATTAATGTCAATGGCTTGATTTATTTATGCCACGAAGGCAACTCGAGTCTTGAGACGGAACATTTCCACATTAAAGGTTAAAAAGAAAACATCAGGAGATGGAAACATGAAAAGGAGGAAAAGGATATTAAAATAGGTAAGGGGTCTAAAGAAATATTTGTAATAGGTAAGAAATGTTTCGGTCCATTAAGTCGTATACATTTCTTACCGTTACCACAATTGGACCTTGTCAGTACGACGATTGTTGGGCAACTAGGGATTGTCCTTCTTTACTCCTTATTTGTTTTTGTCACATTGCTTTTACAACACATTCTCATCGACTAAACTCGAACGAAATAAGAGAAAAATCATCAAACTTCCTCCATATGTTTCACTTTATATTCAGTCTTAAATGAACTCACCTCAATGAAAACAGGATCATCTGGCAGATAGTAATGGCAAGCCCAATCGAGCACATATTCATGGTCATCTCTGTCCAGTGCCATCTGAAGAACACACGTCATTTGAACACAATTATTCATTGAAAATTACAGTGCAGGGAGAAGATAAACAAGTTTTTTTTTTTTTTTGTTTCTCGCTTGTAACTTCCTAGAATTCCCACTGTCTAAAATAATAGACCAACAGGATTGTACGCAGGCCATGTGTAAGGTGTTATTTTATGGTGCAAACTGCCTTTACCTTTCAGGTGGAGTGATATTTTTCGATGCAGTCTGCCTGTGTTTCATCCCTTAGCTGTAAACACAGACCGGACTATGCTTGCGGGTAAGAGTGGGAATCGTCAGTACAGCCTCCTACCCGCCATGCATTGAAAGGACATGCAACTGATTTGCTAGAAAGATGAGTGAAAGGAAAGGATAGAGAAAGGAGAGAAAAAATATTTGATATCATGAAAGAATTAGGAGTGATAGAGTAGGTGGAAGAGGAGGAAGCTGACAAACGATAAGGATAGTAATTCTATGAATTTATGAGGAGACAGCTTTCATGAGAATATCGCACTAACTAGGTTAACTCAAGAACCAGGAATGCTCGAGAACGAGATACCACTTTTAACTCCAGAACCAGAAATGCTAGAAGGCTGAAACTTTGGGAGTATGTGCTTACACCACGTGCAACTTTCCCATTTTAATATCATAACCCGCGTACGCCTGAACCCCACGTGCGAGCCCCGCATGCGAGCACGTGTAAGTTTTGGCCGGAAAATTGCTGACTCGGTGACCAGAAAAGATGGAAAACTGAAATTTTAAGGGGATGTTCTCCGTCCAAGCTCTAACAGATGGAGCTTACATTCTCAAAATGAA